TACCTACCTACCTACCTACCTACCTACCTACCTACCTTTCTTCCAGAATCTAACATCAATGTCCATACCAATACAAGTACCGAGTAGATGGTACAGTTTTCCTCACAGGAGCAAATTTACTCACCTCTCCTTCAGATTTTACACCAACCACTTTTCCATTTTGTACAATGATTTCTTCAATTGGTTTATTCAACATGTAGGTACCTCCATAAATAGCACTTAACCTAAAAAAGTTTTTAAATCTCAATTATAATTCACAATTGTTTCAACGGTTAAAATATCCCTTCTTGAATTTAAATGAATTATAGGCAATATATATTTATTCCATTTCCTTCTAGAAAAATGTTAGCTTATGGCATTACAGCATGTTGTAAAACAGAATAAAAAACATGAATTGGTGTCTCATATAGTTCATACTGAGAGGAGAAGAGCATTAATCAGTAATAGGAAGTTAGCTTACACTGATGGGTCTAATCCACCAGCATATAAATAAAGCTTCAGACTTCGAAACAAAGCACTATCAGGAAGACACAGAGCTTAAAGCAGGCAGACAATGAAGAGGTAGGAGGGAACCAACTGGCTGAGATAAACATCTTATATAAGATCTCCTCTAAGATACTACTGCTAATTTTTTTTGTTTTTTTTAAGCATTCTTTTTTAAAATATTTTATTTATGTGTATGAGTGTATTGCCTGCACATATGTGAGTGCACCCGTGTCGTGCAATGCCACAGAGGTCAGAAGACAACTTCAGATTCCCCTGGAACTGGAGTTAAGGACAGTTTGTAGCTGCCATGTAGGTGCTGGGAATCGAACGGGGACCTCTGCAAGAGCAGTCAGTGCTCTTAACCACTGAGCCCAGCTAGGGCTACAGGGAGACCCTGTCTCAAAAAGACCAAAAAAAAAAATCTGCTTTCTTCCCTGTTAAAGAATTACAGTCTTGATTGTGACTTGGTGCTCCTGCAGTATCACTTTACTATATATTCACAGTTCCAGATTTAACGTCCTATTAAAAGTTTGCAATTTTTCCTGGGGATTCAGCTAAGTAGAAGATTATGTGCTTGGTGTGTATAAGGCCCTAGGTTCAATTCCTAGCACTGCAAAAAAACAGCAAAACAGAGCGGTAAAATTTTACAAGCAGTATTGCTATACATGATTTTCCAGCTTCATTGAAATACAACTGACAAATTTAATAAATAGATAATTTTAATATAGCCTTTATAGAATAAAAAATGCTTTCTAATAAGCAACTTGAAATTAATATTTCCAAAGGCTCTCCTGATAGGACTGTTTGATCATTAACCTGTTACTTTGTGATATACATTTTGATATGATCTGTATTTCTCAAGTTAATATACTAAACTTTTTTTAATATTTTTATTTTATGTGTATGAGTGTATTGCTTGCATGTAGATTGGTGCACCCGTATCGTGCAATACCCACGGTGATCAGCAGAGGGCGTTGAACTCCCCTGGAACTGGAGTTACAGACTATTGTTAGTTGCCATGTAGGTGCTGAGAATCCAGCCCAGGTCCTCTGCAAAAGCAACCAGCCCTCTTAAACACTGTGTAATCTCTCCAGTCCCAGCATACTAAACTTTATATTGTATTTTGTCTTTTGGCTTTCTTTTTATTTTTTTATTTTTTTATTTTATTTTTTTGGAATTCTTACAAATTTCATACAATTTATTTTGATCATATTTAGACTCCCCTCCCTTATGTGCACTTTCCCTTACTACCCCCAGCCCAATTTCATGTCCACTTTTATATGTATATAAAGGCCTATAGAGTCAGGTTTGTATCCCTAAATGCCTTTCACTGTGGGGCCATCCACTGGAGCCTAATTAACCTACCCAGAGTTATACTGTTAAAGACTGACTCTTCTCCCTCCCTGCAGCTACTGGTTGCCAAGAGTTCCTCAGCTAGAGTTGGGGTTTCCTTACCTACTTACCACATCTAGGTCTGGCTTGAACTTACGTGGATTTGTGCATGCTTTTTACCATTGCTGTGCATCCATATAAGTCACTGCCTGGTTGTCTGGAACACTGTTTCCTTGTGGTTGTCCACCACCTCTGACTCAACATCCTTTGCATCCCCTCTGCCACAATGGCCCTGAGTTGGGAATCAGATTTGATACAGGTGTCCTATTTGGGGATAAGCACTCTGCAATCTCTTATTCTCTACATGTTCTCCAGTTGTGGGTCTTTGTGTTAATCACCATCTGCTGCATGAGAAGCTTCTGTGGTCAGAGTTGAGAGCTGCATTAATCACCTGTCAGGCTGGGGAAGCTTGCAGCTGGTTTTCTTTTTAAGACACTGTCCCACTCTGTAGTCGAAGCTAATCTGGTGCTCACTAGCCTACCAGGCTTACCTGGAACTTGTGGAACTCCTGTTTTCTGCCTCCCAAATTCTAGGATTATGGGCATGAGCCACTATGTTTGGTCATCTCTTTGTTTTCTTGAGACCCCAGGCTGGCCTTGAACTGTTTGTGTGGCTGAGAATGGCCTTGAAATCCTGGCCATCCTGCCTCTTCCTTCTGAGTGCTGGAATATCAGGCATGGACTACCATACTTGACGATACATTGATCTTTTTTTGTCTTTTTGAAGCAGGATCTCCCTGTAGTCCCAGCTGTCCTGGAACTCACTGTGTAGACCAGGCTGGCCTTGAACTCAGAGATCCACCTGCCTCTGCCTCCCAAGTGCTGGGACTACAGGCGTGCGCCACCATGCCCAGCTGATACATTCATCTTTTTAAAAGAAAAAAGAGGTGACTGCTAATTCAAGCGGGTAGAGTAGTATTGGTTATGAAATAGTGCTCTAGTTGAGGCAGATAAAGAAAGCTGACCTGAGCCAGGCATAATAGCAAATGCTTTTGATCCCAGCACTCAAAGGCAGAGGCAGAAAGATCCCTGTGAGTTCCAGGCCAGCCAGGGCTATAACAGCAAGACACTTTCTCAAAAATCAAGGAAGGAAGCTGGCTGGCTTGCTTACTGCTCTTCCTGTTTTAATGATCCTTAAAATGAAAAATGCAAAGTCTAAAGCATATTCTTAGGAGAATTTATAGAGCCTGCAAGATAAGGGAGAACACTCCATTTTTGCTTGATGTATTTCTTCTTATTTAGTTTTTTGCGGGGGCAGGAGGGGTTGGGGGGAGGGGGTTGTTTTGAGATAGGGTCCCCTGCAGCCCCAATTGGCCTGGAACTGACTGTGTAGACCAGTCTGGTCTCCAACTCACAGAGATCGGCCTGCCTCTGCCTCCCAAGTTCTGGGATTAAAGGCATGCACCACCACACCCAGCTTATTTGGTATTTTTTATGCTTTGTAATATTTAACTAGTAATAATTAACTAGTAATATTCAACAGTATTTAACAATATTTAGTAATATTTAACAGTTTTAGGCTGGTTGTGGTAGCATACACCTATAGTCCTGGTATCGAGGAGGCAGAAGCAGGAGGTACACACAAGTTTAACAATTACATGTCTTAACTCCATTAAAACTATATACCTATGTATGTTTTTCAGCAACAACTGGATGCATTTGAAGCAGAGAAACTGGCATTGTTAAATGAACATGGTGCAACTCAGGAACAGCTAAATAAAATAAGAGATTCGTATGCTGAGTTATTGGGTCACCAGAATCTAAAGCAGAAAATCAAGCATGTTGTGAAATTGAAAGATGAAAATAGCCAACTCAAATCGGTTTGTAAAAACATTTATTTTTATTAACAATATGAGGGTGAAGGGCTTATGTCTTTATAATCTTTAAATATAATGAAAAGCAGAAAAATAGTTTATAGAGAATTTATTTGAGAGTTAGTGGATTTTAGTGTTGACCAAATAGTCCCTGTTACCAGATTTTATGACTTCAAATTATTGTCTTGAAAACTACTACTATAGTTGGAAGACTGTAGAATTTTATACATTTATTTTTATTTGTAAAATAGCTATTCCTTTGTAAATATCATAAAACAAGCAATATTCAAAAGTAGTGGAGAAATGTTTTTTCCTTCTGGAAGTTTTATTAGTTTATTTTTTATTTGGCACATATACAGAATAGTGGTTACATTATGAGGTTTTCATGTGTCATATAATACACTTTGATCACACCCACCCCCATGACCCTCCATACTTCCTGTTCTGCCCCTTTCCATGCTGCCTCCTGACCTTCCTCTATCCTAGTAATGCCCCTTCTCCTTTCCTGTCTTTATTTTTCTCTTGATTCAACATATGAGTGAAAATCTGAGATTCTTGTCTTTCTGAATCGCTCATTTCACTTGTCAAGATGGTCTCCTTTTCCATTCATTTCCCATAATGCTAGGGTTTTGCTTTCTGTACTCATTCTCTTGTAGATGAGTACCTGGGCTGATTGCGTAGCTTGGCTTCTATGAGCACTGCTGCCACCAATCTGTGTATGTAGGTTTCTCCATTGTTTGCTGATTTTTTATTCTTTTTGGTATATATCCAGGAATTTTGTAGCTGGATCATTCAATAGTTTCAATTTTAGTTTTGAGGAACTTCCATACTGATTTCCATAGTGGTTGAACTGGATAGCCTTCCTGCCAGCGTGCGTGAGACTCTTCTTTCACTATCATTTGTTGTTTTTGTATCTATCACAGCCATTCTAAGTGGGTGAGATGAAACCTCCATGTACTTTAGATTTCCCTCTCTCTCTGGCTAAAGATGTTGAATATTTTTTTTCTCAGTGATAAAAATATTCTAAAATTAACAGTGATGATGGTTGCACACACCTTTGAATATACTAAAATCCACTGAATTGTACATTTTCTTTTTCTCATGCAGCCCAGGCTAACTTGAAACTTGTTCTGTAGCTGAGGAGTACCTTGAACACTTAATCCTCCCAAGGATTAAGGGCATGTAGGGCATGTGCCACAATGCCTAAGTGAACTGAGCTAGAACACTGGCTGACCAGTGAGCTCTCAGGATCTGGGGTTACAGGCACAAGCTCGACTATGCCTGGCTTTTTTACATGGGTGCTAGGGTGTCAAACTGGAGTGCTGATGCTCACAGAGCAAATACTCTTTCTTACCCACTCAGCCATTTCCCCAGTCCCTAAGTTGTACATTTTAAGTGAATGAATTGTATTAGGATATTATATCTTAATAAATCTATTAAAAACGTAAATACCTAAGTGGGACACAGTGGCACATGCCTTCAATCCCAGCACCTGTGAGGCAAAACCTGGTCTACATCAAGTTCCAGGCCAGCGGAGACTATAGGGAGAGCCTGTCTCAAGAAAAAAAAAAAGGAAAAGAAAATATAGACTGTATTCCAAAGACACACAGAGAGGGGAAACACTTAGGAATTTACAAAGGTAGTCACAGGACAGCTGAGAAGTAAAGAAAAAGATAGTAGCTGCAAAAAAAGTAGCCAAGTTGAGCATAGCTCCTGCCATAAGGTACTCTGTAGGCCAAAAGGTAAACAAGTATTGAAGAGACTGGCAGTCCTACCCTCAGGACAGGCCCACAGCCCTTACCAGCCTCATGCAATTGTGAGATTTGATGAGACAGCACGATTCCACCAGTGGATGGTCAACAATGGAAAGGAAACCCATTTTGTCACTATACAGTTTAGAGGCCAGTGGTTGGACACCAGCTTGAGAGGGAACCTATTGTTTAAAACAGCTACACCGGGGTACTCAGAACAGGGAACAGGCACACACCAGGGAGCCCGAAGTCCGTGTGCCATAGCTCCAAAGGTGAGAGGCAACCCTGAGAAGCTTCTGTTGTAAGAAGCAGGAGGGCTGGGGCTGGAGAGATGACTCAGCGGTTAAGAACACTGGTTGTTCTTGCAGAAGACCCAGGTTCAAATCCCAGCACCCACATGGCAGCTAACAACTGTCTGTGACTTCAGTCCCATGGGATCCAACAGCCTCTTCTGACCTCTGTGGGCATTGCACGGCATGGGCATACTTACCAACATGCAGGCAAAACATGCATACACATAAAACAAAAAATAATAAATAAAAAAAAGAAGCAGGCGAGCAGGGTGCCCACAGCCATATAATATAGATGTAGGAGGCCCAGCTCAGGCAGTGATAGAGGGAAGGACAACTCTGCCCTTAGACTGGGAGCAGACCATACAAACTGAAAATAAGCCTGGGATTTGATAGCCCTGAGCTAAGGTCAGTGGGTAGATCAACCTCTGGAGCTACCTATCTGTGGTTCACTGCTACAGAGTCTGAGGACTTTTACTTCCTAACAGTGCTGCTGCAGCTGGGGCATGCCCACAGTCACCCTGGGGTGATAACTTGTTTGATAGAACTGTTTTTCTCTTTGTCAACATGTGGCTGCTGTTCATTCCATTTTCCATAGTGTCCTAGGGCATAAATTGCCCTTCAAATGAATCCAGCCAAATTCTAGTTCATTTGTAGAGGTTGCATCTGAGATGAGTGCTTGATAATTTCTGACTCCAGGAGGACCCCTCCCAGCTATCTTACTCCCCAGTTCTTTTTTGTTTTTGTTGTTGTTGTTGTTGTTGTTGTTGTTTTGGTATTTGTGAGACGGTCTCCCAGTAGCCCCAGCTGGCCTGCACCTCGCTCTGTAGACCAAGCTGGTTTCGAACTCAGCAGAGATCCACCTGCCTCTGCCTCCCGAGTGCTGGTTCTTTACTATAAATAGCCAGCCATTCTTCTCCTAGTCTCCTTATCACACCCTTAGACTTTATCTTTTGCAAGTTCTATTGCAATATAGATTTCCTCCTTTGAAAAGAAGTTAGCAGTGCTTTGTTTTATAGCCTGTTTTTCCCTTGGAGCTGAAATTAGGGACAGTGGCAAGCTTCTCCCTTAGTGCCACCTCTGCCCTTGGAGCAGAGTTGTTAGTGACTTTCAGGGAAAAGGGCTGAGGAACAGCCTCATTGCACCCTGCCTTTCCTTGTGTGGGACCATCCTCATGAGCCAGAACAAAGGTGATCAGAGTCCTGGTGTTTCCAAACACTGCTACACAAGTGGGGCTGTGCAGAAGGGATCCTGTGCCCCAACTCTATTTGCCAAAGGACATCACCTCAGCAACTAGGAGCTGCTGGCAAGATTCAAGATGATGTCTTGCTCTCCCTGGAAAGAAGTCTCTGACTGGAAGTTGGGGAAAGAGGAAGACCTGTGTTCTCGGCCATAGTAGTCAGGCCTCCCCTCTCTGGGAGGGAGGGGGAGGGAAGTTGAGGGAAGAAGAGAACAATTTGGTTTCAGATAACACAGACTTAAATCTTTACAAGTTTTTATAGGTCTTTAGTTGTTTCTTCATTTCCTATTTTGTTTTTAGGACCATTTTCAGAGGAAGACCTTAATTGACTGCCTTTTTATAATTTCTCATTTTACAGTGTTCATGATGTCGGGCCAACATTTGATTTGGGCTTTTTGGGGGCGGGGGTCTTTTTGGAGACAGGGTCTCCCTGTAGCCCCAGCTGGCCTGGAACATGCTTTGTAGATCAGACTGGCCTTAAACTCACAAAAATCTTCATGCCTCTGCCTCCCAAGTGCTGGAATTAAAGGTATGCACCACCACGTTTGGCCTGATTTTTTTATTTTATTTTCTTTGTTTTTATTTTATGTGTATGAGTGTATTGCCTGCATGTGTGTAACTGCACCCATGTTGTGCAGTACCCGTGGAGGACAGAAGAGGACATTGGATCTCCTGGAACTGGAGTTATAGATAGTTGTTAGCTGCCATGTGGCTGCTGGGAATTTACTTCAGTCATGTGCAAGAACAGCTAGTTCTCTTAACTGCTGAGTGGCTCTGTAGCCCCTTAGCAATTGATTTTCCTTCAACTTTTATTGGGAAAGTACACTCAGTTGTAGAGGGACAATAAAAACAAAATAGGAAATGAAGAAACAACTAAAGACCTATAAAAACTTGTAAAGATTTAAGTCTGTGTTATCTGAAACCAAATTGTTCTCTTCTTCCCTCAACTTCCCTCCCCCTCCCTCCCAGAGAGGGGAGGCCTGACTACTATGGCCGAGAACACAGGTCTTCCTCTTTCCCCAACTTCCAGTCAGAGACTTCTTTCCAGGGAGAGCAAGACATCATCTTGAATCTTGCCAGCAGCTCCTAGTTGCTGAGGTGATGTCCTTTGGCAAATAGAGTTGGGGCACAGGATCCCTTCTGCACAGCCCCACTTGTGTAGCAGTGTTTGGAAACACCAGGACTCTGATCACCTTTGTTCTGGCTCATGAGGATGGTCCCACACAAGGAAAGGCAGGGTGCAATGAGGCTGTTCCTCAGCCCTTTTCCCTGAAAGTCACTAACAACTCTGCTCCAAGGGCAGAGGTGGCACTAAGGGAGAAGCTTGCCACTGTCCCTAATTTCAGCTCCAAGGGAAAAACAGGCTATAAAACAAAGCACTGCTAACTTCTTTTCAAAGGAGGAAATCTATATTGCAATAGAACTTGCAAAAGATAAAGTCTAAGGGTGTGATAAGGAGACTAGGAGAAGAATGGCTGGCTATTTATAGTAAAGAACCAGCACTCGGGAGGCAGAGGCAGGTGGATCTCTGTTGAGTTCGAAGCCAGCTTGGTCTACAGAATGAGGAATTTGCTTTCTAGACCAGGCTGGCCTTGAACTCACGGAGATCTGCCTGCCTCTGCCTCCCAAATGTGGGCGCTAAAGGCATGTGCCACAATGCCCAGCTAGGACAAGAAATTTTTAAAAACTTTATTTCCTTTGCAAGAGCTGTTCAAAATCACTTTGTAGTTCAGACTTAATGGGTATGTGTTTAATAATTACTTTTGCCATTAAGTGTGATACAGAAACACTTTAGAATTTGCCTGCAACAATAACACATTTTGCCACTGTACTCTTTAGTAATTGTTTATTATCTATATTTTTCTCACATAGGAGGTGTCAAAACTCCGATCTCAGCTTGCTAAAAGGAAACAAAATGAGATCAGACTTCAGGAAGAACTGAATAAAGCTCTGGGTATCAAACACTTTGATCCTTCAAAGGCTTTTCATCATGAATGTAAAGAAAATTTGGCACTCAAGACCCCGTTAAAAGAAGGTAAGACATTAATACATTTGTACATCTGTCATTTTCCTTTGGATTTGCTTTCACTGACGTTAGCATCTTAGAGCCTTTTTATGAACTCTGAAAATGTGTTGTGTCTTCTTATATAAAGACATTCTTGCTGAGACTGATGCACGCGATACCTTTTTCTCCTTCTGTGCTCATCCGGGTGCCCTCATCGAGCCCCAGTCACAGTGGATCTTCCCTATGCTTTCCTTCTCTCTGCTGCACGCACCCTCCCTCCATTCCCTCTGTACAGTGCTTCATCTAAGTTTTAGTTTTAGAGAGGAAATTTTTCCTTCCTGAGTATCTTTGTATCTTTCACAGTAAGTCCACGTTGTTTGAATTTCATGGCACGGACTATAAGCACTGCTTCTTCTGCTTTCATGGAGATAGAGCTGGTTTTAATTCATAGTGATTGATGCAGTGGTTTAGTTTGATTTTGGTTTGGAGCAGATTTCAATCTAGGATCTTGTACATGCTAGGAAAGTGTTTGCCACTGAGCTACATCCTCAGCCTGGTTCATCAGTTTTAATTTAAAATATTTACATCTTTTCTTGCTAATTTTTCCAGGCAACACAAACTGCTGCTGAGTTCTTATGCAACATCAAGGATCATGCAAGTAAATGTTGGAAACGCCTGTTGATGATGTTTCTTGTTCTTGCTGATGTTATGTCTATTATCAATATAATGTATTTAATTTTTACTGCTTATTAGGTCTATGAAAGGAAGTGCAGCATTCCTTATCAAAATGTCTTTTGACATTTTATTTTCTATTACGTATTTCCTTAATCCTAACCTTTATGATCTCATTCTGAGCCATATAATTTGCTTTCCAGCTTACAGCACACCCCCATCAAATCAACATTATTTTAAAAACTGTATTAAATTATTTTCCCCTATTCTGGACCCTCACTTTTGAGGTTCT